AAAAAAAAAGAATAGTTGTTCTGACCTCTGTCAGCATCCCTCTCTATCTATGTCCATAAATGCCTTTGGATATAAGCTTCTATAAAATATTTTGTTATGAATGACTAGTATAACTGTATTATAGCAATGGTTTTACATTTAGTATTGCCATCAGTTTTCTTTTTGTTTGCTTTAAATTGTTGTCATATAGATTGAACACCCTTTACTTTTAACACTATCTTTAGAGTGAAATTGAAGATATTTTACTAGAGATTTGAAGGACTTACAGAAGAAGAAATGCTGAAAGCTTATGAGAGCAACCACATGGGACTTTTCTTGACATCTCACTTAGAGATTTAAACCTTTGATTATTTGTTTGGCAAGGGGAGATATTTTGAGAACTTGGGAGTTACTGATGTATGAATTATGAGCATGTATATTTTTTCATACTGAGGACAACATTTTTAACATTGGAGCAAATTGGAACTTTATTTTCCAAGGCAAGGGAATTACAGGCAGCATATTGAATCATTGGGGGGAGATTTTCAAAGTCTTTTCTGTCTAGAGATTTTGATAAACCATGAGAGAGCAAGTGACTGTGTGTATGTATTGGGAGATAGTGGGATTTTTCGTGTAAGTGTTATGAAAAAACATCCTAAGTGATTCTAATGCAGCATCCAGTTGAGACCCATTACTCTTAGGGGGTGATACATAAGGCTATAGATAATATTAGACTTTGGAGGTATTTAGATATTCCAAAATGAAAAAGAAGGAAGGAGAGGATTTTTAAGATGACTACTTTAAGGTTGGCAGACTGGGAGGGTTGTAATTGACATAGAAAATACTGAAAGAATTTGCATGTTTTCATGGGGAGGATAATAAACTCAGTTTTATAGAAATTGAGTTTGAGGTGCTTTTGGGGTATCCAGGTGGATATGAGTGATAGAGCCTAAGTCAGAAGTTTTGGAGTTGTTGGTGTATACATGTTGTTGAGCATGTTCTTTTGGTTTTTTAACTCTAGGTCTTTGCACATTTCTTTATAGTAATTGGCTTTGTCTGCTCGAGCTGCTCTTTGCAGTCTTCTGTTCAGCTTTTTTATCTTCTCATTTCTTCCATTTGCTTTAGCTACTCTCTGCTCAAGGGCAAGTTTCAGAGTTTCTTCTGACATTCATTTTGGTCTTTTTTCCTTTCTCGTCTTTTTAATGACTTCTTGCTTTCTTCATGGATGATGCGCTTGATGTCATCCCACGATTCTTCTGGTTTTCAGTTATTGGGGTTCAATGCATCAGATCTATTCAGATGGTTTTTAAATTCAGGAGGGATATATTCCAGGGCATAGTTTGGTTCTCATGGACTTGTTTTAATTGTCTTCAACTTCAAGTTGAACTGGCATATGAGCAGTTGATGGTCTGTTCCACTATCAGCTCCTGCTCTTATTTTGGCTGAAGGTATTGAGCTTTTCCATCGCCTTTTGGCACAGATGTAGTCAGTCTGATTCCTGTGCACTCCATCTGGCGAAGTCCATGAGTATAGCTGCCATTTGTGTTGGTGATAAAGGATTTGCAATGAATAAGTCGTTGGTCTTGCAAAATTCTGTCATGTGATCTCCAGCGTTATTTCTGTCACCAAAGCCAAATTTTCCAGCTACCGATGATTCTTCTTTGTTTCCAACTTTTGCATTCCAGTCACCAGTGATGATTAATACATCTTGATTGCATTTTCAGTCAATTTCAGACTACAGAAGTTGATTAAAGTTTCAGTTTCCTCATCTGTGTCTTTGGTAGTTGGTACATAAATTTGCATAATAGTACTATTAACTGGTCTTCCTTGTAGGCATATGGACATTATCCTATCACTGACAGCATTGTACTTGAGGACAGATCTTGAAACATCCTTTTTGATGATGAATGCCACGCCATTCCTCTTCAAATTGTCATTCCCGGCATAGTAGATCATGTGGCTGGCTGATTCAGAATGGCCCAGACCGGTCCATTTTAGCTCACTAATGCCTAGGATGGGAGCTCTGGTAGTGTAGTGCCTAAGGCACTTGACTGCTCACCAGGATGCTGGTGGTTCAAGCCCACCAGCCACTCCTCAGAAGGAAGTTTGGGCAATCTACTTCCATAGTGATACTGCCTCAGAAACCCAAGAGGGATCGCTGTGAGTCAGGGCTGACTCGACAGCACATAACAACATCATCAACAACAAAATGCCTAGGATATCAATCTTTATGCATTCTATTTATTTTTGACAGCTTCCAATTTTCCTAGATTCATACTTCGTACATGTCATGTTTCGATTATTGATGGATGTTCGCAGCTGTTTCTCCTCAATTTGAGTTGTGCCATGTCAGCAAATGGAGGTCCAGAAAGCTTGACTTTATCCATATCATTAAGGTTGGTTCTCCTCTGATGAGGCAGCTATTTCCCAGTCATATATTGAGTGCCTTCTGTCCTTAGGAGCTTGTCTTCCTGCTGTAAATTGGACTGTTTCAGAGCTATTCCTAAAGTTGCCCAGTGTGGTAGTTAAATTTGTTTGTCAACTTGGCTGGGCCTGGTTGAGTGGTTGGGGAGCTGGTGGTAGTTACTCCCCATGATGAAACTGGCAATCAGCTCCATGTTGGGATCTACCAAAGCAGCTGAGTAGCTGCGTTAGGGATGTGGTCTGCTTTCTATGTATACGGAAAAGCCTTGGGGATTATTCTAGCTTATGGCATGCTTGAACCCTGCATGTAGCCGTGTTGTTCAGCAGCCCGCCATGTTCTGCCAACCTTGAGACTTTTAATGGGCTTGAATTAACGGCCGGCCATATGGTTTGGTAACATTGGGCCTGTGCCATTTTATTTGTCGACCTTGGGCTTGTTAGCCTCAGCAGCCAGTAGCTGCCTGAGTGAAGAGATACTTCTAGCTTCAGTGGGCCAGGAGCAAGAGGCAGAGCAGAAGTCCAAGGTGGAGGGGCTTTTACACAGCCCCTAGAGCCTGCACTTTGAATTTGGACTTCTAGCTTCCTGTACTGTAAGAGAATAAACTCTTGTTTGTTTGAGCCATCCCATTTTGTGGTATATTTTCTGTTAGAGCAGCACAGAGGTAATCAGAATACCCAATAATGTGTCAGACAGTGTTTCTCTGCTATTCATAAGGTTTTCTCTGGCCAATTCTTTGAGAAGTGGTTGGCCTCTTCCTTCTTCCTAGTCTGTCTCAGTCTGTAAGCTGCATTGAAACCTGTCTACCATGTGCAACCCTGCTGGCATTAGAGACACTGGGGGCACAGCCCCAAGCCTCACAGCAGCATGCAAGCCACCACAGTATGACAAACTGACAGACAAATTTGTCTCCCTTAGCTGTTTGAAACCTCCCTGCCCTCCCCTTACCTGGATCCTGC